ACATATTGGCTCAATCTGTCACCAAGCACAAGGGAAGTACGGTAATACCGCTCTCAGCGGTGTTGTCGCAGCTGCGTGTGATCATGCGGTCGCGGGGTCGCTAATTGATATGATTAAGGGTGAAGCGTACGTTTTACCCGCTCTACACAGCCCATCTGCCGACTAATATCCTTTTGGAAGGTTTGCGATTGGGACATACGCGCAACGCGAAATGTTGAGGCATACAAACTCGCCCCCACATGCCCCGGCTTCAGCGAACCCAACGGTTGGCAGCTACGACAGCTGGTGCGCATTCGTGGTTTTCCTACTCAAGCGAGCGATGGAGCTGTTCCTGGAGGAAACCTGGCTCCATACCCTGCTGGCTACCATGGAAGGCCAAATTCCGGCCGATCACATTAACGGCCACGGCGCGGACTGCCAGACGACGTGGCAGGCCGTGTATTTTGCGTGCCGGGCCCATTTTCACGGGGAGACAACAGAGATGCTTTGGGCATTTCTGAACCCCCTCGGCTCCTCGACGCGCCAAATGACGGGGGCGCGACACGACATCATGAATTTCGTGATAGACGCTTGGAATATGCTGAAGCTACTCCGTCAAGGTGAGAATATGTTGGCCTCGTTTTAATGACGCTCTAACTCCCCATTTGGTAGCGGAGCTTCTGGCGGCGGAGCGCCTCGACGCCCTTCGGCGCCCTTCGGCTCTTTGAGCTACATATGGCCGTTGTTGAGGACCTCACACCTCAGTATAGGGGGTTTTCGCGAAACATCCTGGATATGGCCATAGGACGTTTTGCGAAACATCTCGGCCACTAAGAAAAGGATTAAAAGAGTGGGATTCGAACCCACGAATGCAAAACGGAATGGATTACATCATCAACCAATAAGGCAACACTGTAACCAACTGAGCCAAGAGAGCATGCAATCCTGTCCAGATGATGGCCATACATCATATGTTTTCTTAAGCACAGAATCAGCATTTAGTGAACAAACTAGGTTGTCCAGCTCACACAGGTTAGGGTTGGGTGGTTAAGGTGTGGGTTAGGGTGAGGGTTGGTTAAGGTTTGGGTTAGGTTAGGGTTGGTTAGAGTCAGGGTCCCAAGGATATTGTTATTGTAGTTTAGGAGATTTGTTATATGTGCTCAGAGGCAGTCATAAAAGGTAATCAAAAGTGTAGGAAGGAATAGCAATGATAGCCTAGTTGGTTATGACGCTAGCCTGGTGATGTATCCTGCATTGCATAATCTATATGCATCCTGCCGTGGGTTCAATTCCCGCTTTTGCCACTCTTTTCTTGTAACTCCAAATTTCCTTAAATGGCTGGCCACAACCTTTCGCAAAACGGTCTACGGCCACGTCCACAATGTTTCGCGAAATCGTAACTTAATGAGCTGGACCTCAGCAGGCAGCATGCCACCGACGTAGTTGGTTGGTCCCGGATGTCGAGGGAAACGAAGAAGAAGAACGGCAAACTCTCAAGTGTCTATCAACACAGCGAGACGAAAGGTAAATGAGGCCTCTTTTGATCTATCGTTCGGCGCTGAAGCATATCTAGTATTAACTATCGAGAGTGTGCTTGCGACCATGATCGCTGCAGAACAAGAGAAATCAAGAGAGAAGAATGTGGATGAGGTGGAGACGTCGGTGGCACAGTGGATTGTTGATGGACTAAGCATCCAGCGTTCGCAGTAAGTGGATATCAGGACTTCTCCAGGACTAGTTATAATCTTTGACGCAGGGTCCTCACCATTGCACTTCTGAAAAGCCACCGCGAGCATCCCTTGCCGGATACCTGGGCGAGTGTCACAAAACTCCGCGACACCCTTAACGTGGATCTCAAAAGATTCAGGGAACGTCAGCGGGAAATCTACCCGCGCTTGAAGCTTAGTGCACTCGACGTCGATGAGCCGGAATTAACGGCCATCCAGCTGCCATCTTATCGCATGAAGCACGGTCATCGGCCTATCAGCAACGATCCTCAGGACCAGGACTGGCAGCTCCAGCAGGCCGAGATCAGGCTGCGATGCACCAAGGCTGACAACGGTATCTTGGCCGTGCGCGCCGCATCTTTAGCCCTGTCTGCAGTCAAGAAGGCACACGATCTAGACTATCGAGGCCAGGCGGGTGTAACGCGTTCACAGCGCAACTTGCAAAAGGCAGAGATGATGAAGACGTTCGAGATTACGATGTACAATAACTCGCGGACAGCTCTCATCCATCTAGGCTACATGGACAAGAACGCAGTGGAGCCCTATCGTCCATTAACACCGCGGGACACACGGAGGAAGGAAACCCACCTGCATCGTGTCAAAGGAGACTCTCGATTATTCAATGGGACGGCATGGTATTTACAAAGTGGCGTGACGATTTCCCGCATAGCACTGGCTTCGACACTGTCGCGGGGGAAGGGGGAGGCTGAAGATGACGAACCTCAGCTCTTGGTGGGGACGCAAACACGGAAGCGGGCAGGTGTGATACGTGCTATCGGGGGTTTTCTATTACTGACCTGTTTATAGGAGGTGCTAGGTGGAACCAGCGCAGTCCTAAACGCATGAGGGACATCGCGCCAGATGATGTGGAGGTAGAGTCATCGGCGTCGGAAGTGGAAGGCAGTGACATGGAGATGTCGCCTTCTAAGCAGGCAAAGGGAAAGGAGAAGGAGAAGGGAAAGGGAAAGAAATCGGACGGCTGGATCTGGATGGAGAGCTTGATGCGCCAGCAATCCCTCAGCGACGAAAAATTGGCCGCGTACAAGGAAGCAAGTGAGTGGCAATGCGTTTTGTAGATGCAATCACATACTGACACGCCAAAGGTGATTGAGTGCAGTGGTTTCGTGCCGAAGCAGAGATGTACCGCTGGCTAGAGCAGTACGAACGTAAGCACGCGGAGCTCATGCGTGTTATTGAGAGGTTCCGGCGCGACGGTGAGGTGTGGGCGGGCCTAGGAGATCGTGAGGAGGCACAGAATGGAGGGGTCAATGGTGCCGCGACCTTTGCTCGAATGCAGGCCGCCATGTACAGAAGGCTGGAGCACAACGCCAAGCTTACCTTCAAGGACGCCGAGTCGGGTGCACATCACGACTGGGTGTCGGCTACCAGCTTCGACGAGTTGGTGGTGAAGATTGACGAGTGGCGGAAGGTGGTTTTCAAATGGATGGATGATATGGTGAGTACAACAGGCGTAAGAAGCGGTTGGCCGTTTACTGACGAGTCATTTAGGATATCTATAGGGCGTACAAAGATTTCTAATCGGCCCTTGCTTTCCTTCACTCAGCAACGCGTCATTGCACAGCCACACACTATGCGCGCGGTGTGAAGCATTTTCACCCACTCTGAAGCATCGAGGTACCGACACCTTCCCGTCAGACGTGCACATAGTACGCAGGACTTGCCCCCCGGGGTCAGAATTGTTGTCAGCGGTGTAGTACGGCTGCTCGTCGTTGCACAGCCACACGTTGTCGACGACGTTGGGCACTTGAGTTCCAGCATGACTCTCAAGTCCTGGGCAGACACTCAAGTTCTGTGTCAAACTTAAGTCGTGTATACCGCGACTTCAGTGCCAGTCAGAACCCGAGTTCCGCCAGGACTTAAGTGGTACAGCAGCTGGGTCGAGAGGTGACCCCATACCGCATGCCTGCTAAGACTTAAGTTCGGCGGAACGCAAGGTGCTAAGATGCTGTCTCCGAACTTAAGTAGTTTATCAGGTGGGTCAAGAGGTCATCCCATGCAGCCGTGTGTAAGTAAAACTTAAGTTCGGCAGAACTTAAGGTGCCGTTGCCAGAACTTAAGTAGTTCATCAGCCGGGGAGAGAGGTGACCCCATACACACATAGCCCGCCTGCAAGCAAGACTTAAGTTCCGGGAAACTTAAGAAGCAGTGTCGATGATTTCGCCCAAAACTTAAGATAGGCTTGTCCTATTTCATAGGTCTTCCCATCCCTACCTCTAACCTCAACACATACTGCACTTTTCTGGCCGCAAAATAACAGCACATACACTTCAACACTTCAACAAACCACTTTCAGAACAAACAAACCTGCCCACAATCGAATGAAGTCTTCTCCTCCTCCCTTCCTCCACCAACCGAGGATTTTGCTTCCAGCTGGAAAATCAAAATGGGACCGGAGTCTGGACTCAGAAGCAAAAAAAAAAAGCGACAGGATGTACTTAGAATGACCTGTCCCGGAATCGAACCGGGGACTCCCACCTGACAATGGTTCCCTTCAAAGCAGAGTGGGTGTGAACCATTCACCACCAGGTCTTCCTCAGTTTAACAGTAAGCTCAATATACCCCATGTCTTCAAGTTGAACAATACTTGCACTAAACATGAGAGTACATAAAAACTGAGCGAACAGAGAGGGTGCACGACCTGACCCGGAATCGAACCGGGGACTCCCACCTGACATTCATTGACTTCGTCGAAAGCAGAGTGGGTATGAACCATTCACCACCAGGTCTTCCTACTTCCATGCCTAGGTGGAATGCCCCTCACACTTTTCCTTTCAGTTCTGCAATGCAATGCAGAAAAAAAACGAGCAAATGGGAGGAAAAACTACTGTACTTGAAATTGAACGGATAGCATTCACCACCAGGTACTCCTAAGCCTGTTCTCAGGGTCACTAAACCCACCGTTTTTTGCGTCAAATGAGCCAAAGAAAAAGCTCTCAACGTCGTAATGACCTGACTCGGACTTGAGCCGAGGACTCCCACCTTTTTGTATGCTTTTCTTTGAGCGAAACCAAGCAAAGTGGGTATGAAACATTCACCAGGTCTTTCTACTCCCATTCCTTGGTTGAATAGCCCTTACACTTGGTGTGCAAGAAATAATTATAAGAGAACGCACACTTCAACAACAAATTAAACTACTTCGAGAACAAACAAACCTGCACACGATTGAATAAAGTTTCCCCACCCGGTCTTCTCCTACTGTCCTCGAACAAGCAAAGGTTTTACTTCCAGCTTGAAAATGAAACTGGAAAAAGACAGTCATCGCTTTCCAGGCAATGACCTGGCCCGGAATCGAACCGAGGGCTCGTACTTTCCAGCCTCTACAGAACAAAGTAATCAAGCAGAGTGGGTGTGAACCATTCACCACCAGGTCTTCCTACTCCTGTGTTTACGTTGAATACCCCTCACACTTTTCCTTTCAGCTTTGCAATGCAAAAGAAAATGGGAGGAAAAGCTACTTAAATTGAACGGATACATCGCCTGCTGATGTTTAATAAACCCCATATCTAGCTCTAGTAACCCCACACTTGCTTGCTAAAAAATAAGACCAAGGCGGGGAGAAAAAACATGGCTCTCCTGGGAATGACCTGTCCCGGAATCGAACCGGGGACTCCCACCTGACAATGGTTCCCTTCCAAAGCAGAGTGGGTGTGAACCATTCACCACCAGGACTTCCTCCTCTTCAGTTTTAAGCCGAATATACCCAATGTTTTGGAATTGAAAAATGCTTGCACTTAATATGAGGGTACATAAAAAGCTGGTTCCACGCAGTGCTATGACCTTGGCCCGGAATCGAACCGGGGACTCCCACCTGACAATTGTATGCTTTGACTTTGAAAGCAGAGTGGGTATGAACCATTCACCACCAGGTCTTCCTACCCTGGCCTTTTGCCCCTGATATCCCTGCCTAAATGAGAGCAGAGTGTAGGAAAAATATCAAGCAATCAACAGGTCTATGGCCTGGCCCGGAATCGAACCGAGGACTCCCGCCTTACATCACGGAAAAGTCGTGGATGGGGGGTGGTTGTGATACATTTCACCACCAGGTCTTCCTACTCCCATGCCTAGGCGGAATACCCCTCACACTTTTCCTTTTAACTTTGCAATGCAATGCAATGCAGAAAAAAAGGACAAATGGGAGAAAAAGCTACTGTACTTGAAATTGAACGGATAGCATTCACCACCAGGTACTCCTAAGACTGTTCTCAGGGTCAATAAACCCGCCATTTCTTGTGTCAAATGATCATGAGTTAAAGAAAAAGCTCTCTTGAACTTTGCAATGACCTGACTCGGACTCGAACCGAGGACTCCCACCTTTTTGTATGCTTTTCTTTGAGCGAAACCAAGCAAAGTGGGTCTGAATCATTCACCACCAGGTCTTTCTACTCGGATTTCTTGGTTGAATAGCCCTTACACTTGGTGTGCAAGAAATAAGAGAGCATACACTGAAGAACCACCCAAGTACTTCCAGAACAAACTGCCTACAATCAAACAAAGTTTTGCCACCTGGCTTTCTTCTCCTCCCTTCCTCCACCGGCCAAGGGCTTTGCAAATACTGTACTTTTTCGTTCAAATCGACAGTCACGCGTCACGCACCCCCCTGTCGATGTCGAATTTTGGTCGTGGTCACACGTCACCCGGGCCTTTGTTGAGCGTCCAGATGGTCACACAGGCCCAAAAACCGCCCAAAAACTCCAAAAAGGCCAAATTTTCGGTGCGAATGTCGAAATTTTCGGGGTGTCACGCAAAATTTTGGCGGCTGTCGAATTGTCGAATAGGTAAAATGTGTCACGCGTCACCCCCCCTCTCGATTTGAACGAAAAAGTACAGTATTCCAGCTTGAAAACCAGTTTCACTTTCATTTTTGAGTCTGGAAGCAAGAAAAAGACAGTCATCGCTGTCCTGGGAATGACCTGGCCCGGAATCGAACCGGGGACTCCCACCTGACAATGGTTCCCTTCCAAAGCAGAGTGGGTGTGAACCATTCACCACCAGGACTTCCTGCACTTCAAGTTCAAGTTGAATATACCCCATGTTTTCAAGTTGAACAATACTTACACCTACATAAAAAGCTGGTTCAATACGGTGCTACGACCTGGCCCGGAATCGAACCGGGGATTCCCGCCTTACATCTCTCATGGGATGTACAAACAGACGGCAGGCGTGATAACATTTCACTACCAGGTCTTCCCATCCCTACCTCTAACCTCAACACATACTGCACTTTTCCGGCCGCAAGATGAGAGAACACACAAATTACTTAGAGTGAATGAATAAAACCTTCCTACTAAAGCATGGAGCTTCGCCACCCAGTCTTCTCCTCCTCCCGTCCTCGACCAACCAAGGGTTTTGCTTCCAGCTGGGAAATTCAAACAAAACTGAGTCTGGACTCGGAAGCAAAACAAAAAGACAGTCATCGCTTTCCTGGGAATGACCTGGCCCGGAATCAAACCGGGGCTCCTACTTTCCATTCTTTGGAGGATGATGTAAGCAGATTGGGTGTGAACCATTCACCACCAGGTCTTCCTGCTCTTCAAGTTCAAGTTGAATGTACGCTGGTCTTGGGTTCCTAGGGGGAGAAAAAGGCCAGTGAAGTCAGAGGAATAATGACCTGACTCGGACTCAAACTGGGGACTCCCACTTGCCAATCAGGCACTTGGAAAGCAGAGTGGGTGTGATCCATTCACCACCAGGTCTTTGTACCCTCTCCTTTTGGCCCTGATGTCAGTGACACCGGGGGCAGAGACCCAGGCACATGGCTTTCATGTGCCTTAAATGCACATTCAACGCACATGGATGTGACATGGCTCAAAGGTCAACAATCATCCTTCACCAGACAAAGAATACACAAAGAATATACAAAGGAGGGACAAAGTACAGGGCCGGGGTACAGCCCGGTGTGGGAATCCTGGCCTGCCTTGGCCCTGCTCTTTGTCTGTCCTTTATCAATCCTTTGTTCAGTAAAGAACTATTCTTGAACCGTGATAAATGTCACACTCATTTGCGGTGGATGTGCGAAGGATGTGCCTTTAAGGCACATGACAACCATCTGCCTCAATCTTTGCCCCCGGTGTGACAGCCCTAGGTCGGCCTGATGGGATGTCGATATGGAAATAACCTGTGACGGGTCTGTAGACCGTCTCTCTTAAGCATGGCCAGAGGCCATTGCCAAACAGTAGTCAATAGCTTAATTAGGATTCCGCGATACATACAGCCACAATGTATTAGATAATCAGACATAACTTAACCAGCACTTTCACCTATCGTCTCAGGGTGAACGGTGCAACAAACTCGGGAGCATCGCCCCTCCCCATCAGCTCCCTGCTCTAAGTCGCAAGAGCCCTACCTCGGGTTACCTGGTCTGCGTCCTGGGGGGCAGCTCCGTCTAACGGCATGAGCTGCTTCCCAGTGCTATGGGACTCTGTTCGAGTCATTGAGGCGTTAACGAGGGCCTGACAAGCCCTCGTAGTCTCCAAATCTTCATATCGGGCGAGAAGCCAACCTGGGCTTTCACAATGGTGACCACCGCAGGGGCTTCAATCAAGCCCTTTACAAAGATTCCTTATCCTCACCAACTCCTTGACGGAGTGTCCCACTCCCGAGCTCTCCTGATTCGAGAGCCCCATCCAGCACCTCGGTAGTGGTACGGTGAGGCGCTTCATCACCTCCCTCACGGCACGCGACGATCATCTGCTGTTCGGTCCTCCTTCTTTCCCTTACGACTCTCCAGGACCGAATGCTCACGTTACGGGAACACCACCCCTCCGCGCATCCTTCTTGTTGTTCTGAGGGTTTTCAAGGCCTTCTCCCACTCTGGTGTCCTTGAGCTCTGCTGTCGGCGTGAGCTTGGACGTGCAACCCAACTTGAGCCCCGCTTCATTGCGCTGGGCTCGATTTCTCTACTTCGTTACACTTGTACGCTGTGAGCTCCACCGTGTATTTACAGCATATATTTCTCTGTTCTCTACAACAACAACGACCTCTCGTCACCACTAATCCTCAAGCCCATCCTCAACCTGCCATTTGATACGAGCCCATACTCGCTAGCCGTTATGTTGAAGATTGAGAATGGGATGAGCTGGAAAAGCTGGGTACTTTGAATAAGGTGTCGTGCTCGCCCCCTTTCCCCACACCCCGCCGCACTCGATGCGCACAATATGCACAAATACGGCCCAAGAATCCGAGGTGCCAACGTTGGCGTTCACACGGTGTCGACTGCGTGGCATTCGACAGCGGCGACACCTCTCTCTACTCCATGATCGAGCGCGACTACCAGATCTCCCCCCGCGCAAACGCAGAATGTGCGGCCCGCTTCACCAAGATGCTTTTGAGCATGCATGCAGACGTAGAGATTGCCACCCCAGCGCACATCTCCGTCCTCATGTATTAGGCTGCGGGCTAAGCGCTAAGCTTCCACTGCGGTGAAAGGTGTGCTCCTGAACTAGACCAAAACACAATGAATGCCAAACTCGACTGGCAGGATGCCTCGCTGGGATAAGCCTAATCCGAAGAATGGCTACACCCAACTAAACAACTACCAACCTAATCCAACATTTGTGCTTTATTTTACTGATCTAAGTACGACGACGAGTTGTGATTGCTTGTCCAAGATTACACGAATGTACTTCCAAGGACAGGGAGCCAGATTCGAAGACCATGTTTTGAGTATGTAGTTTCGTGCAATGTGCACTTGTGCCTAAGCACCAGGTGTTTCGTGCCTAAGCACCATGTGTGGTTTTATCCCAAGTTCAGAATGACTTTGGCCGTATTGGATTTATAGCTTTCCAAGCTGTAGGGTTGTGTTGGCTTTATAGCTGGCCAAGCTTTGGAAGATTTTAAAGCCTCACAGCTATGAGTCAATGCTTTGTCTGGAACTCTCTTTGTCTGGAACTCGCTTTGTCTAGTAACACTTTGTCTGGTAACTCTCTTTGTCTCAGTCTCAAGAAGATTGTGTTATTGGTTTTGTTATCAAGTCGAGCTGAACTTCTAAGTCCCAACTCCCCTATTCACCCTCAACATAGTGCTTACACCAGTTGAAGTCAGACTCGACTCCGCCCTGAGTGATGAGAGAGCTGCCTAAGGCAGCTCCCACTCAGAGAGCTGCCTGAGGCAACTCCCTCTCAACCCGGGGGGATTCTGTGTCCCTACCTACCAAACTACTCTACTTTTATACTACTACAATTGAGCTTACACTACACTGATTACAACGACCTTACTCAGCCTACTCTATACGATCGTTCTTTACTCAGCAGACTGTATACGATCACAATGTTCATTCCTGCTCCTTTATGCCAGGCAATAATGCCTCAGTCTTAGTGAGTTTGATTCGAAGCAGACACCTTGAACGCTGCTGCTCCCAATGCATTAGCATGATAGGTTCGAAGTCCTGGTTTCTAGCTTTTGATAGAGACCAAGAAGTCCATGGTTCACTGTCTGGTTGAACAGCCAAGTCCGAATTAGGTTTAACACTTGTGATCGTATCTCGGGTGTGATCGGCATGAGTGCCCTGAGAGCCTAAGGCTCTGAGCGTTGAATTCCCCAATGGATCGGCCTTAGATTATCGAAGCCAAGGTCTCTAGCTTCCACTAGATACCCAGAACTCCCTGGTGCATTGCTTGGTTCAACAGTCAAGTCCGGATTAGGTTCAATAACCATGATCGGACTTCGGATAAGATCGACTTGGCACCCTGAGCACCTCGGCTGAGAGCCGGGGCTCTGTAGGTCATAGTCCTCGATGTAGAGACCTCAGATTAAGCAACTCGAGGTCTCTAGCTTTCTGTAGGTAGCCAGAACTCCATAGTTCAGAAGTCAAACCCAGATTAAGGTTATTCAACCATGATCGGGCTTCAAATAAGATCGACTCATTATTGTCAGGTGATCTGGCACGTCGCTTGTATGCGTACAAAGCGACCAATACAAGGTGTGTTGACTTGCAATAGTCTGGCTGGTGGTTGGATAGTAAAATCCCCAGAGTGGTTACAGGGCCTTTCAAGGACTTGTACATTATGTGGCTACCTTATCCATGTGAATGGACTTGGCATGATTGTGCTATCCACTGTCTCGCCTTAACCAGTATGTGAGATTCTGGTTAATGTGCTGCAGGTGGACTTGGACTCCACAGATGCTTATTGGGTTGGGAGAGTGAAACCTGAACCACTGACAGCTGCATACCCGTAGTTCACAGTATACACATAATATGCTCAAAATCGCATATTTCAGCGTGGACCAGTTCACTGCTTATCATCTCCCCCAATTTTGAAATATTGACTGCCCCCAGTCAACCCGTTGCTCTGGTGACTTCACACTTTGGTTTGGTGTGGTGCCAAATGCCACTGCAAGTCATTCCCCTTGGTGATTAAGTCTTATCCGGACTTTGTGCCACTACAAGTCGATTCAACATTTTACCAGTAATCACTCAGAGAATTAGAGTTCTGGTTATGTTCAGGTTACTTCTGAATCAGTCGTTGCAGGCGGTTCCTTAGCGCTGACTTCCTAATGCTGTCTGACCAGTTGAGTAAACACTTATTCAGTGTTTTTACAACATCACAATTTCCCATCCTGGTGCGCCCCCGAGTCCGGAGATCCTGACTCCAATTTAGATACATGTTTTTCTGTACCCAAGCTCCCTCTCTGGCTCACTGCACTGAGTAGGTTCGGGACATAAACTTAAAGTTGACCTGCGCCCCGAGTCCGGAAATCCTGACTCTTATTCTGGTCTGTTTTCACTTCCAAACCGTGATTTTCCCCTTATTCCACAGAGAAGATCTCAGGTGGATTAAGCAATGTTCTTCGAATAAGGTTTGCATGCCTTATCATGAGTGCGATGGGCCTTGGCCTTTTTCCCGTTTCCCAACTAAGTGTTTACACCCCCCTAGCTGCCAAGCACCATCCATTCGTACAAAGCGAAGGCAAAGTTCGTTTGATACGAGGAACCTTCCTCCCACAGGTAGTTGGTTGGGGAATCTACTCAATGAAGAGCTAAACATGATAGGTAGCTTATCCGAGTTCACAGGCATCCACAACACGCTGATAGGGTGTACAAGAGAACACACATGAAAACCACCAGTTTTCGAACCTATTCAAAGGTCAAAGGGAGACTAGAACAGAGAGAGTACATTCTCCTCGGAATGGTATTCTACACCTATGACGGCTGAAAGCCGATGGGCCACCAAGTACTTGAAGACTCAATAAAGAACCTTTACGGGAACTAAGTTCAGTTATAGAGTCTACCGTCGGGCTCCGGGAGTTGGCTGACCGTCAGATTCCTTGAGTGCTAGAGGTGAACAAGAGGAACTACACTTCTTAGTAGCTGAACGTCACAAGCGGCACCTTGTTTCAATATTAATAGTCGAACTCGGATTAGTCCGACCGTTGGGATTATTGAAGGGCTACCGTTGGCCAGCAGACCTACGGTAGCTCCCGGCCTATGGTCGGGTCGAGATTCAACACAATAGATCAGATATCATGAAGGCAGTGTTGTCAAGCACAACTAGGCCTAGATTGAGCTATAAAGCAGATATGAT